CAATTTTCGCTTTTCTCATGGCCCAAAATGCAATAAGTTTGCTTCCGCCTGGCTTCCTTCAACCGTTCCCTATTCCACCATTGTTTCTGGACAAATTGAGTCGGCCACAGAAACTCATTCTTGCTTCAATCCAAGTATCTTAATCCTGTGATGGCGTTCATTTGCATTTTGCAGAGGTAAACTGAGACTTTCATGGGATGGGACCTCTTTCAAAGCTATTCTTCACATTAAATAACTGTCTTTCTCTTCCCATTCCTGCCTTCTTACTCATTTCAATTCAACCCTAACTAACATTTTCTGCATTGGTCCAAAACAAAAACGGTAAACAACTTTGCCATGTGTTTGTTCTGCTTTGTTTAAGACAAGTTGTGCTTATATTTTTTAGATTATTATTATTTTAGCTAAAATCTTGGTCTTTTTACATAAGATTTTCAAACTTCCTATTGACATCTTAACAGCCCTACCATGTAAATTATAGTTTATATTAAAGTAGGTTGCGCTGAAAATGAGACGTAGAAATGGTATTATAGTCTTCTTCTCTTACTGTTAATTTGATACATGTTACAGATTTTATTCTACCAATTGTGTTTGAACAAAAGGGTATTATATGCAAATATTATGCCAACTAAAAATTTGGTCTTCCACTCACCTACTACTGATGGTGGTTGCACCTCCCTGAGGTCCACAGGCATTGGCAATTTGGCATCATCATATTCATATCACATTAGAAAAGTTCTGTTTCTTTTGCTTTCTGAGTTTAAATTCATATTCATGAAGTTAAGAATGGAAGCCTTTTGTATTGTTGGCTGTGATTGTCAACACCTTCCTAAAAATTTTTATTCAATACTGTATATTATGTCTCCAGGGCATATTAGACTAAGTACTTCTGTGTTATATAATGAGTATTGTTAACAAGAAAACTTCAACCAGAACTCAAAAATGCCAAGCATGGAATTGCAACCATCTCTGGACCGAGAAACCGGGATGTCACGTTCCAGGGGCAAACGTGGTGGCTGGATCACCTTCCCCTTTATTGCAGGTCCCTTTCTACCTCTATCTCATGGAATTGGTGTTGCACAGCGGCATGCAGGACTTTGTTGTACTAATAAATTGTATTTTTTGTTGTGATGAAAGCAACCCTGACGGGATTGATGCTGGCTGGTTGGGGATGGCTGACAAACTTGATTGTGTATCTGATTAAGGAGTTCAATGTGAAGAGTATTGATGCTACTCAGATTACAAATATTGTCAGTGGTGGCATCAATCTGCTTCCCATCATTTCAGCAATTCTTACTGACTCTTTCTTAGGATCATTCTATGTGGTTGCAATTTCTTCCTGTTTCTCTTTGCTAGTAAGAGTCTTACCACAGGAAGTTAACACTCGTGAATGGATTAATTTCTTCCTCTTCTGAAACTAATCACCAATTTTCCTATCCAGGGAGTGGTTCTCCTGACCTTAACAGCATCAAATAGCTCCTTGAGGCCTCCACCATGTGAGACTGCATCAAGCTTATGCCAAGCTCCATCAAGGGTTCAGTTCTCAGTTCTATATGCAGCTATAGCTTTAGCTTCGATAGGCCTTGGAGCAATGAAATTTACTCTAGCAACAATGGGGGCAAATCAATTTGATACACCTCAGTATCAAGGTTTCTTTTTCAACTGGTTCTTCTTTATCCTTTATGGAGCATGTGTAGTAAGTACTATAGGCATTGTCTATGTTGAAGATAGTATCAGCTGGGTATTGGGGTTTGGTCTATGTTCTGCTGCTGGTTTTGTTGGTTTAGCCATTTTCTTGCTTGGCACCCGATTCTATCGACATGACAAGCCTCAAGGAAGCCCATACACTGGTTTAGCTCACGTTCTTGTTTCTGCTATAAGGAAGAGGAATATTCCACTATCATCCAAAACTGAGGATTATTGCCATGGAATAGATGGAACAAACATGATTTTGGCTGCAACTCCTTCTCAGAGCTTAAGGTATGAGTTTATTCTGTATTGGCAACAATGGTTTTCTCTTCATTAAATCAAAACTCACAGGTGGGGGATTGATTTTTTTTTTTTTCCCCTTCTGCAGGTTTTTGAACCGGGCAAGCCTAAAAACTGAAGGGGGCATTCAATCAAATGGATCCATTACAAAGCCATTGAGGCTATGTACGGTTCAAGAGGTGGAAAACCTTAAAGCTCTAGTTAGAATTTTCCCACTTTGGTGAAGCACAATATTCTTAGTTACCCCAATAGCAATCTTCTTGGTTCTAGTTTCAAAATCCCAGCTGGGACAGTAGTTGTTGTGGTGTTAATCTCCACCTGCATCTCCCTTCTCATCTTTGATCGTTTCCTTCTCCCGACCTGGCAGAAGTTCACCAATCGGGTGCTGACACCTCTCCAATGGACTGGCCTAGGCCATGTTTTTAATGTGCTAAGCATGGCCATATCAGCCTTGATGGAGTCCAGAAGGCTGAAAATAGCCCATGCCAAGCACCTTCAACAGCAGCCCGGAGCTATAGTCCCTATGTCAGTCCTGTGGCTGTTTACTCAACTTGTTATAGTTGGTATTGGAGAAACATTCCATTTTCCGGGGCAAGTGGATTTGTACTATCAAGAATATCCAGTAGCACTCCGAAGCACACCAGCTGCCATGATATCAGTAGTAATTGGTACAGCGTACTATGTGAGCACTGCTTTGGTGGGCCTGATCAGGAATGTTACAGGTTGGTTACCAGATAATATCAATGAGGGGAGGCTGGATAATCTATATTGGACCCTAGTTGTGTTGGGGTCACTAAACTTCAGCTTTTATTTGCTCTGCTCTAGCTTATACAGATACAGAAATGTTGAAAACAAAGTTGATAATTCTGTAAGGGGTGCCACTGGAGAAACAGAAACAGGGCAAGAAGCTTGAATTTTACCTAGAGAAATAAAAGTAAAATGAAAAGATAGAAGAAGAAACTTGAAAAGATTTATGTTGATATCATTTTTTTTTCTTTTAATCAGCATGTTGATGTCAGCCATATAATGCTTATTTAAGAATTCCTTTTTGTAACATGACTCAACTCTAACATATTGCTTAAAAAGTTACAAGGTACTGTCAGCCAGTGCTGTTTTGAAATGTGTTGGAGTTGTGGTGTCAAAGCTGCACAAAAATGGCAACAAATGAAAAGAAGGGAGAGTTGCACAAGTTGCAGCAAAATGAAAAAGAAAAAAGGAGAGATGCACCAACAGCACGGTGGCAGCTAAGTGCAGCAAGCTAAGCTGCAAAATGTTGATGAAAGGAAGCTGAAATGAACAGCAGATGAAATGCAAATGAAATGCAAATGTATCTGAAATGAAAGGCTGCAGAGCTGCCAAGGGACCAAGCATGCTGCAGAGCTGCCAAAGGATGCAGCAATGTGACAGAAATGGCTGTTACATATTTCAAATTTCAAATGTACTTTTCGTGTTTTTTAATGTATAATAGTTGTTTGAATTTGAATTGTTTTAAAGATTGTATTCTCCTATATATAGGAGAGTTGGTTAATGAGAAAATTTGAGTTGAAACGAAAAAAGAGCTGTTACATATTTCAAATTTCAAATGTATTTTATTGTTGTTTTTTAATGTAAAATAATTGTTTGATTTTTAAATTTTAAATTGAGTTTGTACTCTCCTATAAATAGGAGTAAAAGGAATGAGAAAAATTGAGTTGGAGTGATATACTCCTCTCCATTTTAGTTGGATCCTGCTCTTCATCATCTTCCTCTCGATCTCTCCCCATTTCTTTGTGATAAAAAAAAAAAAAAAACCAACAAAATGCGTTATGAGTCAGGAATTGCTTATTAAATCACACACACACACACACCCACACTATACATATTTTTATCAAGCCACCATTAGGGGGTAAGCCTACATAACAATTTTTTTATTTTTTTTAAGCCATTGCCTACTTTATATCTGACTTTCAAGTGGGAACAAAGTAGTTTTGAATTGTTCTACAGGATATGAACTGGATTTAGTTCCCACTAGGAGTTTTCTTTTTATCCTGTGAATTTCTCATACTAGTAATTGGTGTTTTTCAGGTAAACAAGGACTGTAATAGACAGCTTTCAGGGTATTCTTTTCTTTTGTATCTTCTTTGGTAATTCTAGGTTCAGATGTCCCACCCTCAATCATTAGAGGAGAGAGAAGACAACATAATTTTCTAAAACTATATTTAAGATCAAACAATTGTAAAAAGGATACATTGTAACACCTAAATCAGATTTTTTTTTTCTTGGCCAACAAACAATTGATGCAAACTAGATTTAGATATGGTTGCGCTGAAAGATAGAAACCCATTCAGCTTCAATAGGAATTGCTCAATGCTGTTATTCCCCCTCCTTTGTCTTTTACCCTCCTACAATAATTTTCAGCATTGATCTAGAACAAAATTAATATGGAACTCGGAGTAACTGAAGAAATTATTTAAAAGTCTTCTACCTTACTTTTGATTTACTTTGTTTAAGATATATGTTGCATTTATCTTTATCTCAAAGAGTCAAAGTTCTTACTGTTATCTTAACTATCTTAAAATGTAAATCATTGCTTATCAGGTTATTGGGAAATTACGTTTGTTAGAGTATATTTTATTCTTATTTTACTGTCATTGGAAACTTGGTTTTGATTAGTCTACATTTTTGTGCAAATTATATTGCCATTGGAAACTTGGTTTTAAAAGTTGGTTTTGACCAACTTTTTTGTGTTGACACAAGAGGTAACTATATGAAATTATTATGCCACCAAAGCAAAGTTGGTCTTCCGGTGGTTGCACTCTCCGAGGAAGGTAGCACCTTGAGTTTAAGGTATATATTGTCATTGGAATTGATTGCTGTTGTTTTCACATCCCATTAATTAGGATAATTAGGTTTAATTATCATTTCCAGGGATGGTCAATGCTTACTTAAAATTTTTTGTCAATGCTGATGTGAGTATTTTACATCCCCCAATCATTGTCAAAGAGCAAGAGTAGCACAAGTGGGTCATATTAAAACATATACCTTTGTTTTTATATAATGAGTATTTCTAACATTAAAATTTCTACCAGAACTCAAAAATACCAAACATGGAGTTGCAACAATCTATGGACAGAGAAGCAGGGATTTCAGATTCCAGTTGCAAACGTGGTGGTTGGATCACCTTCCCCTCTATTGCAGGTCTCTATCTATACCTGCTAGATAACCAGGCTCATGCACATACAGAACTTTGTTGTACTAATAAATGTATTTTTGTTGTGAACAGCAACACTGACGGGGTTGATACTGGCTCACAAACTTAATTGTGTATCTGATTCAGGTGTTCAATGTGAAGAGCATTACCGCTACTCAGATTGAAAATATATTGTCAATGGTGGCGTCAGTCTGCTTCCCATCATTACAGCAATTCTTGCTGACTCTTTTTTATTAGGATCCTTCTCTGTTGTTGCAATTTCTTCCTGTTTCTCTTTGCTGGTAACGATCTTTCCATGGGAAGTTGACCTGCGCAAATGCATTAATTTCTTCTTGTTCTGAAATTAATCACTATTTTCTTGTGCAGGGATTGATTCTCCTGACCCTAACAGCATCAATTAGCTCCTTGAGGCCTCCACCTTGTGAGACTAGATCAAGCTTACGCCAAGCTCCAACAGGAGTTCAATTCACCATGCTATATGCAGCTATAGCTTTAGCTTCTATAGGCCTTAGAGCAATAAGATTTACACTAGAAACAATCGGCGCAAATCAATTTGATAAGCCTCAATATCAAGATGGTTTTTTCAACTGGTTCTTCCTCATCCTTTATGGAGCTTGTGTGTTAAGTACTATGGGCATTGTCTATGTTGAGGACAGCATCGGCTGGGATTGGGGTTTGGCCTATGTGCTGCTGCTAGTTATGTTGGTTTAGCCATTTTCTTGCTAGGTACCCAATTCTATTGACATGACAAGCCTGAGGGAAGCCCATACATAGGGTTAGCTCGTGTTCTTGTTTCTCCTATAAGGAAGAGGATATTCCACTATCATCCAAAACTGAGGATTATTACCATGGAAAAGATGGAACAAACGTGATGTTGCCTGCAGCACCTTCTCAAAGCTTAAGGTATGAGTTTATTCTGTATTGGAAACAATGGTTTTCCCTTCGTTAAGTCAAAACTCGAAGGTGGAGGATTGATTTTTATTTTTCTTCTGCAGGTTTTTGAACCGAGCAAGCCTAAAAACTGAAGGAGACATTCAATCAAATGGGTTGATTGCAAAGCCATAGAGGCTTTTCACAGTTCAAGAGGTGGACGACCTCAAAGTTTTAGTTAGAATTTTCCCACTGTGGTCGAGCACGGTTTTCTTATCCACCCCAATAGCAATTCAAGCCAACATGACAGTTCTACAAGCTCTAGCCATGGATCGTCACCATGGTTCTAGTTACAAGATCCCAGCAGGGACAGTCATAGTTGTTGTGTTAATTTCCACCTGCATCTTCCTTGCCATCTTGGATCTTTTCCTTCTTCCCACCTCGAAAAAGTTGACTCATTGGTCTCTAACTCCTCTCCAATGGATCGGAGTAGGCCATGTTATTAATGTTCTAAGCATGGCCGTATCAGTCCTGGTGGAGTCAAGGACGTTGAAAATAGCCCATGCACATCACCTTCTGTTGGAACTTGGGGGTTAGAAAACATATCATTGGCTTCAAGGCATGCTGCAAATGCCACTTTCCTTTAGGCTATTTTCGCCCCTACCATTTTGGTGTGCAAAGGCGTTAACCAAAAATACATGTAGGATACAATGAAACCCTGTCAATTACGCCTTGCCCTGATGAAATCAACCACTAAATCTCACTTCTTCAAGTGGCAAAACTATCACTTTCATACAAGGATTTCTGCAGCAATCATTGCACAAAAGAGGACTGTGTTATATTAAAAAACAGTAGGATATTGTATGTATCATTCGAATTGGAATCACCGTATCAAGAGGATGAAGACAAGGCTTTTATAGACTATAGGTGTCTGTTGATAAAAGACACCTCTTTACAGACATGTCTCTTCCATTTGAAGAGTTTTAACATGAAAAGACACCTTTTCATTTATTCCCTTTCCCAGCCATTGTCTTCTTTCCTCTATTTTGAAAATTTCTCCAACACCTTCAAGCACAGCCTGGTGCTCTAGTCCCAATGATAGTGCTATGGCTGTTCCCACAACTTGTTATAGTTGGCACTGGAAAAGCCTTCCATTTACCCGGATAAGTTGCACTATACTATCAAGAATTTCCTGTAGCGCTCTGTAGCACAGCAACCACCTTGATATCTGTGGTAATGGGGATTGCCTACCATGTGAGCACTGCTTTGGTGGACCTGATCTGCAATGTGACAGGCTGGTTACCTGATAATATAAATGAGGGGAGGCTGGATAATCTATATTGGACCCTTGTTGTTTTGGGTTCGCTCAACTTTGTCTATTTTTTGGTCTGCTCTTGGTTGTACAGAAATAGAAATATCTTTAAAGAGGAAGTGGGTCCTTCTGTAAGGGTTGCCAATGGAGAAAGAAAAACAGAAAAAGGAACTTGATCTTTGGAGAAAGGAAACAAAAATTGCAAAAGTATTGAGAAGAGAAAGGAGGGAAAAACATGAGTCAACTCAACACGTTCTTTACCATGTCAGCCTGTAATGTTTCAGAAATTTATCATGAATCAGGACATACTAAATCATCTCCAACAGGTTGAGTTGCAAGGCTATGATACTAGCCCTCATATCATAATGGAGATTTGAGTAAAGAAGTAGCCCCCTTGCATAAGTGCTGAAATTTATGAATTGATTCCATTCCCATTAGGAGTTTCTTTATCCTCTGAGCACTTCTCTAGGCACCTTTGCATCAAACTTGGAATATGCGCTTTCAAGGAATTCTTTTACATTTTTTAGATTTCCTTTCCTGTAAGTGGAAATAAACTATTTGGATGGTTGTATGAAATTTATGAAATGATTCCATTCCCATTAGGAGTTTCTTTATCCTCTGAGCACTTCTCTACATTGGCACCTTCGCAGCAAACTTGTAATATGTACTTTTTAGGAATTCTTTTACATATTTTAGATTTCCTTTTCTGTAACTGGTTCTTTATTCTTTAAATAACTTCTGTTGTCAGTATGATATGTTGTGCTAAATTTTGACTATTATCTTGTCTGCTGCTCTATGTTGTCCAGATATGTCAAGGGGAAGTGCTCTTTGTATTGATGACAATGAAGAAACAGATCTGGGTGTTTGTGCTGAACATATATGAACCTATAAAATTGCTATCATATTCATTCTCCATTGGGAAAATTCAATCTTTTCTATCTTCTGTTATCTTCATCCATTGGTGGTGGTAAAGGTCAACATCACACTGTTCTTAGTAAGGTCAACATCACACTGTTCTTAGTAAGGTCAACATCACACTGTTCTTAGACAGTAAGGTCAACATCACTAAGGAGTATTAAATAACACAATTATTGATGAAGAGCATGCCCAGATCATGTGACGCATATTAAAACAAATGCATACGTGTTATATAGTGAGACTGCTAACTGCACTTCAACCAGAACTTGGAAATGCCAACGATGGAGTTTCAACCATTTGCAGACAGAGAAGCAGGGATGTCACATTCCAGTGGGAGACGGGGCGGTTGGATCACCTTCCCCTTTATTGCAGGTATCTTTCTTTCTTTCTATCTTAGGTAACAGGGTGCATATGCACCACGCACAACTTTATTGAATCAATGTACCATGTATCTTTTTCTTCTGTTTTAATCCAGCTGCTGTGTTTGGATTGATGATGGCTGGTTCGGGATGGATGATGAACCTAATTGTCTATCTAATCAAAGTGTTCAATGTGAAGAGCATTGATGCTACTCAGATAGCAAATATTGTCCATGGTGGCGTCAATCTGCTCCCAATAGTTGCAGCAATTTTTGCAGACTCTTTTTTTGGCAGCTTCCCTGTAGTTGCAATTTCTTCCTGTTTCTCTTGGCTGGTAAACAGTCTTAAGCATCGTAGTTGACCCCCATATTCCAGTTTCAAAATGAATCACTACTATTTTCTTTTGCAGGGAACGGTTCTCCTGACTTTAACAGCATTAATTAACTCGTTGAGGCCTTCTCCTTGTAAGAATGGATCAAGCTTCTGTCAACATCCATCAAAGTTTCAATTTGCAGTGCTATTTATAGCTGTATCTTTAGCATCTATAGGCCTTGCAGGAACAAGATTTATTCTAGCAACATTTGGAGCAAATCAATTTGATGAACCTCAACATCGAGATGTTTTTTTCAACCGGTTCTTCTTCATCTTGTATGTATCTACTGCTATAAGCACCACAGCCATTGTCTATGTTGAGGACATCAACTGGGGATTAGGCTTTGGCCTATGTGCTGCTGCTAGTTTTGTTGGCTCAGCCATTTTCTTGCTAGGGAGCAGATTCTATCGTCATGACAAGCCTCGAGGGAGCCCATACATGGGTTTAGCTCATGTTATAGTTGCTGCTATACAGAAGAGGAACATCCCTCTACCATCCAAAATCGAGGATTATCACCATGAGATCGGTGGAATGGACAAAATCACAGCTGCAGCACCTTCTCGGAGCTTATGGTATGAACTTATTCTGAATTGGCATCTCTATTTCTGCCCTTTCTAAGTCACAACTCAAAAGTGGAAGATTTATTTATTTATTTTTGTTGCAGGTTCTTGAACCGAGCAGCAATAAAAACCAGAGGAGACATTAAATCAGATGGATCAATTGCTAAACCATGGAGACTCTGCACCGTTCAAGAGGTGGAAGACCTCAAATCTCTAGTTAGAATTTTCCCACTCTGGTCAAGCACAGTATTCTTATTCACCCCAATAACAATTCAGACCAACATGACAGTTATCCAAGCTCTAGCTATGGATCGTCACCTCGGTTCTAAGTTCAAAATTCCAGCAGGGACAGTAATAGTTGTGTCATTGATCAGCAACTGCATCTTTCTCATCATCATGGACTGGTTCCTTCTCCCCACCTGGCAGAAGATGACTGGTCGGCCTCTTACACCTCTCCGACGGATTGGAATAGGCCATGTTTTCAGCGTGCTGAGTATGGTTGTATCAGCCTTGGTGGAGTCAAGAAGACTGAAAATAGCTCATGCCAAGCACCTTCAAGCACAGTCTGACGCCATAGTTCCTATGCTAGTACTGTGGCTGTTTCCACAACTTGCTATAGTTGGTATTGGAGAAGCCTTCTTTTTCCCAGGACAAACTGCATTGTACTATCAAGAATTTCCAGTATCACTAAGAAGCACAGCCACTGCCATGGTGATTGTAGTAAGTGGGATAGCCTTCTACGTGAACACTGCTTTGGTGGACCTGATCAGGAACATTACACGTTGGTTACCAGATAATATAAACGAGGGGAGACTGGATAATCTCTATTGGACACTGGCTGTATTGGGGTTGCTGAACTTTGGATATTATTTGGTCTGTGCTAGCATATACAGGTACAGAAATGTTGAACTGAAAGTGGCTTCTCCTGCAAGCGACACCAGCAAGAACCTTGAATCCTTAACCTAGAGGAGAAATAAAACAATGCAATAAATGGGAAGAAAATAGAGAGAATGGAGGAAATATACTTTGAGTAAGTAGATGCTGCTGCATTATCATCTACATAATACTAATACTAACGAATATGTAGCTCATATTTTGATACTATCTTAAAACTAGAATATTGGTCTAGTAATTTATATAAATTTTGACATATTTAAGCCACTCATATTATCAATATTTCTTCGACGTGGGATGTTGTTTTTACCACAACTCACAAGAAACATGCCTCAACAGAATAATTCTTTCTTTCGTGTTGTGACTTCACACAACATATTTCTATAAAGTTACAAACGCAGCTGATGTCAGACAATGGTTTTCCGAGATGCATGCTTCTACAGAATAATTCATTCTTTTGTGTTGGATTTTTTTTTTCCAGGTTTGGAAAAAAAAAAAAAAATCTAACACGAAAGAGTGAATTAGTAATACAAAAATTTAAATCTTTAATCTTAACTCCAAATCAAAATTTTTAAGTTAATAGCTAATAATTTGGCAACCTTAACCCCAAATCAAGATATTTAAGTTAATAGGTATTAATTTAACTAAGTTCTTGTTGGTGCAGAACACAATTACTAAATTGTCTCTACTGTGTTATATTTCAGGCTTATAACGTTATGTTCTAGTTGGTATTGGAGAAGCATTCCATCTTCCATGACAAGTTGCTTTCTACCGTCTAGAATGTCTAAGTTGCTGCGAAGCACAGCAACTGCCATGATCTCTGTAGTTCTTGGAATAGCCTGCTGTATGAGCAATGCCGTGGGGAATTTGATGGGGCATGCGTTACCAGTTGCCGGATAACATAAATGAGGGGAAGTTAGGTTATGCCATTTGACTTTATTTGTGGTGGGGTTGCTGAATTTTGGCTGTTATTTGGTCTGTTCTATCTTATACAGATATAGAAATGTTGAAGAGAAAGTCTTACCATTCTGTAAGTGAGATGCCAATGGAGAAACAAAAACAGAACAAAGAACTTGCATATCTAGTAGGGAAGGGAAATTTCAAGTTCAAAATTCTCTCTTTGTTTCACTTTTGTGGGTGCAATACAATGGTAATTTGAAGTTCGAGTTTCCTCAACCTGGAAGACACCATTTTTATAATGGGAATAGATCCTGAAGATCAAGGATATCAGCTAGCACACCAGCTGCAGTTGTGTCATTACCCGCTCCAGCTCCTTGAATAACCAGTGGTTGTTCATTGTAGCACCTACTGTATATTTCTAGCTGCAATTTCGTCAGATAAAACAGAGTCAACTTTGCATGTAAACAGCTCGAATGGTTGCCCTATTCTTTTACGGCTTAGTTGAAGAACAACAGGTGCTGAAATCAGGGGACAAAACAATGAAAAGGGAGCATACCACATTGTCACTTCCTCTCAATCTTCCTAGAGCAGAGTTCTTGGGAAGTTCTTGAAGGCCAACTTCACATCTGCCAAGCAAGTAATTGGGTCATGGAAAACTTACATCTTTACAACACCATCAAGCCATATCAGGGAAGATATATACAGACTAGAAGAAAAAGAAAGTGATGATGATCTTAGTTGATGGGCTAAAGTCATTGCAAACTGTTTTTCCAAGACAGAGAATAAACAATTGCAAACTATGATAAAGAATACCTTGAGCCGTCAATCACACAGACATAACGGAGGACGTTTCCATTTAGTGAAGCTTTCTTAACTCTCTCTTGTATGTTGTTATCGAGCTTTACAAGCCCATTTTCCATGAAATCTTGAACAGACATCACACCAGGCTCCATTTCTTTAGGGTACAAGCTCTCAATCTAGAAAAAGGAGAACATACCATTACAAACACAGACCCAAAAAAATAATGGGATTGGATAAAAATGAAGTTCGGTACCAACCTTGATGCTATCTAAGCTAATCCGCCTGCCAAGAAGTCGAGCAAGGATCAAAGCCTACTCAAAATTCAGAAAGAAGAAGGAATGAAAAATAAGAATAACACAAATTAATACCCAAATATTTGTCTAAATTCTAAAGTATGAAACAAGCAGTTTGGTTTGGGAAATTCACACAATTCTAACAAGTCCATCTGAAATCTGGTCAATTTAATCAATTAATGATGACATTCAAATATAGCTACTAATATTCTCAAGTCTGAGCCCAAGTTATTAGTCAATGAAACCAGCCATCAGAAGATTCAGGGCATTACACAAACCAAACTGGGCATTTATGAAGTTTTATCTGCTCATAACAGTAGGTACTCATCATCTGTCTCTGAAATCCAGTAGATTCTTTTCCCATATTAATAAAGATGACTGAAATGACAATTTGGCTAATGAATCACCAAAACCACAAATAAAGAGAAATAACATGATTGTAATACATTACTTGTTTATCTAGTCGGGATGTACTTTATGTCCAATAACAACAGAATTTGCAGCACAAGGAGATAATAATACATTATCAACATAAAGTATTTACAGAAACAGTAAAATGCATATGCAAACCTTCCTGGCAACATCCATCCCACCAAGGTCATCACGTGGATCTGCAACAAGAAGATCAAATGTTGACAGAAGATAAGCTCAACATATATAAAATGCATAGAAAAATGAGGGGGGAAAAAAAAAAGAAAGAGCAGACAATTCATATGAAGGGAGAAACATATAATTATTGCTATATTTAACTTTCAAATTTTGAAGGTGGATTTCAACATATATATCTACAAGTACATAAGCATACCTAAAAGAAGCCCTAAGATTTCTCATCAACAAAGCTTTTACCTGGTTCAGTGTATCCAAGGCTTTTAGCAGTTTTAACAACTTGGCTCAAGGGCTTTCCATCTTCAACTTCACTCATTACATATCCTAGTGTTCCTGTTAACAATGAAACAGAAATACAAATCAAAAGCTATGAAAATATATAAATGTGTCATCCACGTCCCATTACAGAGAGATAAAAAAAAATTATAGAATAGATATTGATGCTTTCAAAAATTCCAAACCACTCAAACTCCCAATAATGCGATGAATGGGATCTCCTGATGAAATTATGCGATTTAAGGATGATATGACGGGAAGACCAGCACCAACCTACAAAGGGAAAATGAAATCAGTTAAGTGCTTAAGAAATTTCATAATACAAAAGATAGCATAAAGTCAAGTTTCAGCTTGATTCCTCTTCTTCATAAGTTCTAACATTTACATTCTCATATAATCTATGTTCCTTTACAACATGTTTCATCAAATCAAATAGAATAACTAAGATTGTTAAAAAAATAAAAAAAGTACTTACAGTTGACTCATGCCGAATGCGGCGGGGATATGACACCAATTTATCATAGTCCTCCTGTAGGACAGGAAACAAAAAGATTATATAAAAATGGACTAATGTTACTTAAATATAGCTAGGAGAAACCTGAAAGAAAATCAGAACCAGAACCAGAAATAACATGTATCATTTTAGTGACTGCACAATGCAGAAAATGACACCTCTCCACATCCTTGGTGCATCCAACATTTTTGTTCCATTAGGAAAATCTACTTAAAGTTAATTCCAAATGCAATCATAAAAATTTCCACATGGAGTAATATTTTATCAGCAAGACGCCCTTCCTTTTGAGTTACAATCCAAAGAAGATGCCAGTAGAGTTAATTACCAAAGTAGAAGTAAGAGGCTTTTTATTAGCCAAGACAACACAACAACCCAAATCAACCACTTGGGTCAGCACTCCAGTTGTCTCAGAACTAGCTGAACAATCTACAAGAGCCAAACCTGTTCCATAATCAAACAGAATATGCTCAGAAAAAATCCAAGCAGTAGTGCAGTACCAATAAAGTTTCCAAAATTCCAGGTTTCTATATAAATTAAAGCACAGATATTTGGCACAAACCTGTCGATTTACCCAGAACCGATGCAATGTCTAATATTTTTGTTCTTGATTCTGAATTGGAGAAGACTTTACAATCACCTATGTGAAATGAAAAACAGCATGAGTAACTTCTGAAAAAAAAAAAAACAGCAATTGATCCTCACAGACCACAACATGAGCACAAACAAATTACCTAAATCATTAAGCTTTGACAAAGAAGAACCATCTGATTTCACTCTACAAACTTCTGACAGAAAGTTATCATTCAACTCTGCTTTGATCACGTCCGATGTAAGTACTAGAGACTTACTGTCCGATACTCCCACCACCCGTAAATGGACTCCCTGCCAATCGAACCATTTTGATCCGAGAAACAGTAAAAACCAATACTTTTAGATGATTCTGAGAAATGGGAAATGGGAAATGGAGAGAAAAGTTACAAGCTTGGCGTGAAGTAATCGGCAGGAGACAATGTGTTGGAGGAGGTGGCGGCCAACGCCGCCGCAACCCATCAGAATCAGAGGGATATTCTTCATGATTTCCTTCTTTTCGTAGACATCACACCGGCGGTCAAGTCGCGAAACAATGAAGACTGAAGACTGCTTCTCCCTGCTTTTCTTCTTCCTCGGAATGAACTGTCGTACCTGACCGATTACGACTTTGTTTATCAGAGCTCCCGAAATCACTTTATCTAAAAATATAAAATTTTTATTTTTATTGTAATTAGTTTTTATTAATTTTTTTATAAATAAAGATGTACTTTATACAGAAATTTTATTTATTATATTTATATAAAATTTTAATTATGTATTTTTTATTTTTTAATAATTAAATTTATTATAATTTTTTACCTGACCGATTACGACTTTGTTTATCAGAGCT